ACCATCACAACCGTTATTTTGAAAGTTCCAACTACAATCAATCAATTGTTGCTGAGATAAACGAACTAATTTTTTTGTCTAAAAGAAAACAAAGTGTACATATTTTCATTATATTTATATTTTTATATTTATTTCCTATATAACAAAATGAATAAAATATATGTATTAAAATAACAATTTGCCGAGTAAGTTCTCAAAAATTTATTTTTAATTATTACCAATAAAAAAATAATTCAATTTCATTAAAATTACTTAAAAAGTACCACTAGATTGGTTTGGCTAATAGAACGTCACATTAGTCTGTAGTACAAATTCGGACCTCCTTTAGCGTCCAATTTCCTTGGCACCAACCATTTGGTTCTCTTTCAAACGAGAACTCGTGAATGATTCTGGCAAGTGACGTGTTTAGAACACAATCACCCATCAGAATCATTTCTTTCTTTTTGTTCTATTTGCTATGAATTAGTGGGGCCATACACTCAACACATTATAATTGGCTACTTTAACTTGAAAAATTTTAAATACTATTCAAATGGATATAAAAACACGAATTGTCCTAAGAGAATTAATAATTTAATGACTTCCTATAAAATTAAGGAACAGTACAAAATTACTGAGCATCACTTTTATCTTCTACATACACAACACAAAACCATGTATATAGCATGTAACAAAGTATTACTATAAAATTTTTCACTTTCAATAATTATAAAAAATTTTTTTATTTCTAGCCAATAAATATAAAATATTCTTTCAATTGTGACTTAAGATTACCTTCAAAAAGTAAGCTCCTTCAATTGTGCCTGTGGTTCCAAAACTCCAACAAGAGCCACAGATAGCTTGATCTTTAACTGGAGTCACGGCACCTGAAAAAAAAAATTTAACTTAAATAATTAAATGTTTTATACAAGTTAAGTTAACTATTAATTTCACATCCTGAAATTTATAATAAAATAATTTTATTTCTTTAACTTTGATTTATATAATTTGACTTCTATTTCTTGAATTCTCAAGTTAAAGAATTTTTCTTTTTTGAGAATTTATATACTGTATTTCATTAAGGAGTTAAAAATATGTTTTGCCTTCATTCAAGACTTAGAAAATAAAATAAATTTTTAATCATCATCATACATTTGATAAAAACAATTTATTTAGATAAATTTTAGAATAATAGATATTAACTTTATAATTAATATGAATTACATATTTATAAAAGATGTAAGGAAATACTTTTATACAAAATCTGTGATATCATTTTCATTTTATTTAAAATACAGAAAAAAAATTCTCTTTCCATCAAATAATAACAACAACATGTCAGTCTTTAGTTAAAAGCATTCTAGTTCAAAATTTTAAATCAAAATTATATAAAAGAAATGAAAAAAATTACAAATATAATAATAAAGAACTTAAAAATTTATAACTAATCTTTACCAAAAGAGATTAAAATTACTAAAAAGCTTTTTTAAAATCAATTTTTTACCATTAACATTTACAATTAAATTTTTTAACATGTTACATTTTAATTACCATATAATCTCCAATCTAAACTTTCTGGCACGTCTCTATCGTATAACTCTACGTCGAACGCTTCGCCGCCATTATATTCGGTCGTCGGTAATCTGCCTCTCATAGTCCATAATTCGTCGTCGGTGAAATCTGCCAAGTGGTTGACTGCCAATTTAAACGATAAACCGGCCCGATTCTTTGAATTTATGAATCTATAAACAAATTCGACACTCTTTATAATATTTTATTAATTTCAATTTCTGTTTTTATTGGAGTAACAAACAAAATACAATACTTTCCCAAGAACTTGCAGATTAATAGTCTTTCAATAATAGTCATAACTACAATTTTAAATTTATTTTAAAAAATTATTTTATAAAAGTTTTACTTTCCTGTATATGTAATTATATATGTTCTGAGTATTTTACAAATCTCTACATTTTACAACCTCTGAACCCAAAAAAGTAAGAAAAGAAAAGGAAAAAGTTCCATGTGCGTGTGTGTTTTGGCATCTTTTTTCATTTATTATCTCAAAATAGAGTAATAATTAAGAAATTAAATTTGGCATAGTAGCTTGTGTATTAGGAAGACTGATGCTATTACAGTTTGCTGGTTAAAGATCGAGGATTAGGAAGATATGGGAGGTGTCAGACATAATGAAGATTTTACTTGTTATTAGCATTAACAATTTTTTGTAAAAACTTATCTTTACCCTCAGAATTAAGCTTTTTGATATTTTATGATTAATAATATAAAACTTTTTTATAATAAAATCTCATAATAAATGGTGCCACAAAAATTTTATTTATTGTGATTAATAATATAAGAGTTATTTTTTAAATAAAATCTCTTAAAAGCTGGGAAAATGGTCCAAGTGCAGTATTTAAAAAATCCACAACTCATTGCTGGATTTTTTAAATACTGTACTTGGACCATTCCAAATCTTAATCATCCAAACATGGGTATACACAGAAAATTTTAGAGAAAAGATCAGAGACAAATAATCTATATATATATATATATATGTGTGTGTATAAAAGTAGACATGTTTGTGCCTATATGTCACTCTGCAGCCAAAACTACACATCGCACATGAATGGTGTTTGTGTGTGGTAGTAACCCCAAGTCTCCCATTGTGCACTATGGTGATTGCGTTTCAATAGCTATAAGGGTGTAGAGATATGGGGTTTGAAAATGGTTGACTTCAAAAATGTGTGACACTTCAATGAGAATGTTCTGGTTTTTTCTAGAAAGTTCCAGAACCTAGAGTTCAAATTTGGTACACAGTTAGGGTACATCATGAAAATGCACACTAAGAAGGTATTTTTCGAAATTCTCCCACAGGGGAGAGGGAGAGCATTAAGGCTTAACCTGAAGAACGGCTTCTACTGTACTATTTTAGATGAGATTTTTTTGTTTTCAGTTACGTTTAGTCTTCATTGAGTACTTAGGTGTATTAAATTGATAACATTTCAGACATTATTATAAATATTTTTTATATATTTTGATTTTTTAACCAAATGTTCAAACCATTTTAAATTCAAATTTTTTATTGCATATCGGTTCGATTATAGAATGATTGTAAATGATCCAGAAAATTTATCAAATTAAAAACAGTTCGTTTGATTCTCGGCAATTCTCACCATTCCCAGCGGTAGGTGTTAAATAACAATTACTGTGGTTGTTGAAATATTGAATGTAAATAGGGTTTGCTTGCAAAATCTGTGCAAGCGAAGCCGCAGGTAACAGCTAGTTATATTATATAATTAAATAAATTTTTTGATTTTTTGGGGTTTTACACAAGTAGATTACAAAATACAGTATTGTGTCATAGTGTCCCGTGGTCAAGGATATAAGGTCACACATCTTAGTCACTTATGATTATAATTTCTGGAGTTCCACAGAGAGGGGCAAGTGCCTGGTTTGCTCCCCTCTGTGGCTGCTCATAAGTCAAAAGTTAATAAAGTTTTACAAGGTCTCCCATTAATGCTTCTAAACAAGTTCCACAATTTTTTCAAAAATATATTTTAATTATTTTTAAAAATAAAAATATGGGTTCCATTAGAGCAGGGGTCTTCAACCTGGGTTCCCTGGAACGTTGATAGGGGTTCCGCAAGTGATCACTATTTGCTTGGTCAAAACGCATGTAAAATGGAAATCATCTATACAAGGAATATTTCATGTAGGAACAGGGTAGTGGACTGTCTTATTAAAACATTAGATTAATTTAATATTTAGGTAAAAATTACAATATTAATATAAATTGGATACAAAGTGGCAGTTGATTTTAAAAAGTAAATATAAATAAATATTTTATGGATAAAATAAAATCTTGAAATTCAGTAAAAGTCACATGCTTCAAATACACCAATCAAGATTCCTGACATCACACATTAGTTCTGTTAATCTCATTCTGTCTGTTAAATACAATCACGTACAAGTGAGTATTTATTTTGTTTTTATATCATAATTGATAACTTTTATTATTTATTTACAATTTAATTAGACTACTGTAGCAATAATGGATATGTGGTTGAAAACTGGTAAGCTTCATTCTACAGATGAGGGAACTAGTTTCGCTACTACTGTTGAAAATGAACCAGATGTTAGTACCAAAAAGTTGTCTGGTGATTCAGATTTACCCATTTGTAAAAAGCAGAAGTATAATGAAGAATACATAAAATTTGGTTTTACATGNACATTTCAGACATTATTATAAATATTTTTTATATATTTTGATTTTTTAACCAAATGTTCAAACCATTTTAAATTCAAATTTTTTATTGCATATCGGTTCGATTATAGAATGATTGTAAATGATCCAGAAAATTTATCAAATTAAAAACAGTTCGTTTGATTCTCGGCAATTCTCACCATTCCCAGCGGTAGGTGTTAAATAACAATTACTGTGGTTGTTGAAATATTGAATGTAAATAGGGTTTGCTTGCAAAATCTGTGCAAGCGAAGCCGCAGGTAACAGCTAGTTATATTATATAATTAAATAAATTTTTTGATTTTTTGGGGTTTTACACAAGTAGATTACAAAATACAGTATTGTGTCATAGTGTCCCGTGGTCAAGGATATAAGGTCACACATCTTAGTCACTTATGATTATAATTTCTGGAGTTCCACAGAGAGGGGCAAGTGCCTGGTTTGCTCCCCTCTGTGGCTGCTCATAAGTCAAAAGTTAATAAAGTTTTACAAGGTCTCCCATTAATGCTTCTAAACAAGTTCCACAATTTTTTCAAA